CATCATGGGATAGCGCCCCATATTTTTGTTTTATCTGCCATCATGTGCACAGAGATATATTTCTACCTCTCTTTCATCTCTTAGTTAGGACATGAAAATGGTCTAGGCGCTAAGTATTAAACTCTCATTGTACTGAAATCATTCAAAGTGAGATCTAGGCTAACCCGTTCTATGAAGCCTGCCCTGCCCATTCTGCCAGGAGCCTGGCAAGCCCCACTTTCCTAGAGACACCCCACCTCCACGACTCTGCATCCTTCCTGAGGCAAGGCACCTGTCAGTTCTCTCGACAGTGGAGCCTGTTTCTCCCACAGTAGGACAACAAGCTAGAGACAGCGGCTGGGCCTCTCCCACTGTGGGTCTCTCCAGGGATCAAAGCTTAGGCCTAGGGGCTGCTGAAAGACTCTCATTACGAGAAGATCATTCGATCCAGTTAAGGTGACAGAGAGTCTGAAAGCCATGATTAGGATTATGGATAATTTTAAATATGCAGAAATCACGAATAGTAAGGGAGAAGGGTAACACAAATGGCTGGCGGGTGAAGACACGATACAGCAGGGACATGGCAGCGGCATCTACCCCACCCCTCCCTCTCACTGTCCCATCTGCCATTTCTTCATTAGAGGAAGAAAATGCAACACTACAAGTCCTGTGTCTTTAAAGTCACACTTTTGGGGGAATTCTGGGTTGACATATAAGACATTGTTGCCAGTAGGTTTAGGCAAATCTATGTAAAGAGAGCTGGCTGTGGTCTGTACAGTACCATCGAGGTACATCTGTTTAAAATACTGACAACTTGATTTTCTGTGTGTCACTTCCTTCTTTTTTTATTTATTAGATTAAAAAAAAAATCCAAGTTCCCACTCTCTCCCCTCCTCTCATCCCCCCCCCCCCCCCCCGCCTATCTAATCCTTAGCTAGAGTAAGGCACATTGCCTTGTGGAAGGTCCAAGGCCCTCCATACTATATCTAGGCTGAGCAAGGTATCCATCCAAACAGAATAGGCTCCCAAAAAGCCAGTACATGCAATAGGGACAAATCCTGGTTCCACTGCCAGTGGCCCCTCAGTCTTCTCCAGCCATACAACTGTCACCCACATTCACAGGAACTAGTTTGGACCTATGCTTGTTCCTTCACAGTTTGGCAGGAGTTGTTGAGCTCCCATTAGCTCAGGTAAACTGTTTCAGTGGGTGAACCCATCATGGTTCTGACCTCTTTGCTCATACTCTCATTCCTCCCACTCTTCAACTGAACTTTGGGAGCTCAGTCCAGTGCTCCACTGCGGGTCTCTACCTCTGCCTCCATCAGCTGCTGGACGAAGGTTCTATGGTGATATTTAAGATAATCATCAGTCTGACTACAGGGCAAGGCCAGTTCGGGCACCCTCTCCTCTACTGCTTAGGGTCTTGGCTGGGGTCATCCTTGTGGATTCCTGGGAATTTCTCTAGAGCCAGGTTTCTGCTAACCCTATAATAGCTCCCCACTTCCTTCTTTCTGGCCTATTCAGTTTTCCCATCTGCGAGATAAGAGTATTATGAGCAACCGTACACGTTTGCTACAGGAATAGAGAAATTATGTTACCATGCAGCACAGTGGGAATAACAATACAAGCAGCACTTATCCAGAGGCAGGATACTTTTACTTGAGATTGGGCTTAGTTGACCTCTCTTCCAGAAGCCTTTCTTGAGTAGTCAAGGCACTGATTCATTTGCCTGTCAGACTGTGAGCTCTTGGGTTCAGTGCAGGAGGAACAGAAGGGGAGCAAGACAAAGTCAGAGAAGTAGTAACTTGCGTTGTGCTGGACAGTTTGTGTACACTGGACACAGGCTGGGGTCATCTGAGAGGAGGGAACCTCAATTAGGAAACTGCTTCCAAAAGATTGGGCTATATGCCAGGCCATGATGCTGCACACCTTTAACCTCAGCACTCGGGAGGCAGAGGCAGGCAGATCTCTGAGTTCTCTAGGCTAGCCTGGTCTACAGAGAGAGTTCCAGGGCAGCCAGGGCTGCACAGAGAAACCCAGTCTTGAAAAAACAAAAAACAAGCAAACAAAAAGATGGGGCTGTAGGTTAGCCTGTAAGGCATTTTCTTAATTAGTGGTCAATGGATGAAGGTCCTACCCTGGTGGGGCCTGAACTCTGATGGGCAGCTACTGCTTACTACTGGCAGAGAAAGATGAAGCTCAGGTCAAAAATAGAACTTTCCCATAAAATTCTGCCTTAAAGAGCTATTTTTTTTAAAAGATTTATTTATTTATTGTGTATACAGTATTCTGCCTACATGCATGCCTGCAGGACAGAAAAGGGCACCAGATCTCATTACAAATGGTTGTAAGCCACTATGTGGTTGCTGGGAATTGAACTCAGGGCCTTTAGAAGAGCAGGCGGTGCTCTTAACCATTGAACCATCTCTTCAGCCCCTCAAGAGCTAGGTTTTGCAGTTTGGTAAAAAAATAAACAGAGGAGAAGGGAGAGCAAGGAGAGATGGAACAACCAAGCCGAGGACAACATAGACAGCACAATGAGTGGAGACGCTGAGGGCACCTGGTACTAGATTAATAATACTGTCGTCACCTCCCTCAGGTGACCTTCAGTAGCTCTAACGACCTGTGCTGACACTAAGATGCTTGTCCCCTTTGAGAGAGAAACCTTGGCACGACCAGCACCAGGACTACGTCCCACTACAGGTGTTTTTGGCCTACAGAGAAGATGATGGGTACAGTTCCTGGGGCTCTCTGGAGCCAGCAGGGATTTCATCAAGGCATGTGGGGAAGCTGGCCTGAAAGGCAGTGCAGCTGTTTCTAGGGGCGAAGAATCTGAGCCCAGGGAGGGAAGCAACAGCCTCTTGAATTAGTAACTCTTTTTGGTCCCAAGAGCCCACTGGGATGGGCTGTGAAAAGCTGGCTGTCATTTCTTAACTCACCTCTTCTCTCAAGAAATTATCCTAGGACAACCAAGTGCATCACACCCTTTCCGTGGCCGAGGCTGATCACTGAGTTGTTCCAGCTCTCCTATGAATAAGGCAGGATTACTTTTTTGCCCTTGTTTGATTTGGTAGGAGCCTGTGGCTAGTTCTGGCCAGTGAGTTGTAGGAAGTAAAGGGTTCTGCTTCCAGATGGAGTAGTCAACTCTGAGTGTGGCCATGAGTGAGAGGTCAGAGGGCAACTTGTGGAATTGGTTCTCTCCTTCTTCGTTTTATGGGTTTTAGGGATCCAACTCAGGTTGCGAGGTTCTCACAACTGAAAATTTAACACCCTTCAGAGTATACTTTATCCTTTGGCAAGCAACCAGTGACTGGGCGTGGAGCAGGGTGGAGGAAGAGAGTGCTGTAAAGGTGGCATCTGAGTGCCTTTGATGAGCAGAGCCCACCTTCCTTCTCCAGCAACAGAGAACAGTAGCACAAGGCAAAAATACATGTTGTTCAAACCACTGAAATTTTGGACAATTACAGCAACAGAGTCCAGCTTATTCTGCTGGATAAGCAAACATACATCTAGCTGACCCTTAGGGACTATTTAGTTCAGTATTTCTCTTCCCTGGAGCTTCACTGAGGCTTCAGTGAGGAAAGTGCTAGTTCCAAGGTTACACAGGCAGAATGATGGAGCTAGGCTGAGAACCAAGTCTCTGCTGTCTCAGACAGGCAGAGTATCTGCCACTAGGTGGGACCTGTCACTCTGAATTATCTCTGTGGACAAGACCATGTTAGGAAGAGCAAAGAAAGAGGAGGGCTCAGAAGCCTGGTGTTCCGGGCTAGATCCCGCCACGGAGCTCATCAGTCAGCTGTACCGCACCTCGGCAGCTGCCTGGCTTCTGAGGGAAGAGTGGGTTGCACGGGTAACACTTGGACCATCTTCCCTTCAACCAGAACAATTCCATTCCTCTCTGATTCATTTGCTTTGCTTTCCTACGATTTCCCATCACAAGATCCGATGGCTGTCCGTGTTTCTGCCAGGTCTGATTCTTGGATTCTACCCAATTGCTCCCAAATTGTAAGTTCTGTAGCTGGGGAAAGCAGGACCTTAGTCTTATTTGTCGGGAAGTTCCAAAGTGTGGCTGAGAAACTAACATGAGGATGAAGCTGTTCTTCCTGAGAGTGTGTAGCGCCAGGGCGAAGGAGTGAGGACGGGAAAGGATGCTGTCTGTGAGAGGCTGCAGGACAGGTGAGGTCTGAGGAACACCAGGCTGGCCTCCAACTCACAGAGATCCACCTGCCTATGCCTCTCAAGTGCTTGGAAGTAAAGGTGTGCGTCGCCACCACCACCCAGCTAGTTCACTCAAGACTTCATTTGGCTTCTGCTGAAAAGAAGCAGGGAGGCTATCACCTTAAAAATAAAGGAGACTGTTTAATTCTCAGAAGCCACATATGGCTTGGGCCTCTCCCTCTCCATGTTCATGACAGGAAAGCTCTCTATTCTTGGTAAGACCAGAGCTGGATGTGAACTGAAATAGACAGTAACCATCAAGGGTTGGCCTAGCGACCCATGCCTGCAATCCCAGCACTGGGGATTATTTTAAGGCTCTTCAGCCAGGCTGCAGACAACAGATCCCATATGCTAGAAAGAGAGCAGGACAAGGGTCAGAAAGCCAGGTATTCTGTGCTCATTCCTACATGGAATCTACTGTACATAGTCTTGTGGTCAAATGCATTTGCTTCGGGCTTGATAATTTACTCTAAAAGTGGCAGTCTTGTATAAAGTAAGATCACCTAAGAAGTGCTCTTGGTGTGGAACCTGAAGCAACTGACAAAAATGGAAGGTTATGGGCTGGAGAGATGGTTCAGCAGGTAAGAGCCTGGCTGTTCTTCCAGAGGACCTGAGTTCTAGTCCCAGCACCCATGTGGCAGCTAACAACTGTTTGAACTCTGGTTCCAGGGGATCTAATGTCCTATTTTCCCCTCTTCTGGGCACTGCACACACATGATACATATACACAAACACAGGAACCCCCAAAATAGTAGAAGATTAAATGACATATGGGGTACCCAAAGCCTCCTCTCTCTACTTACCTTGGTCTCGGATGCTTTCAGAAGCTTCATAACCTCTCCTTCCCGGGCATAATCCAAGGGTGTGTGTCCCATCTCATTCCTCTGAAGGGGGTTGGCTCCTGGCAAGAAAAAAGGACAAATGGTCAGGGGCTATACGAAAGATTCCTCAGCATTCACCTATAGGTGGCTCGGGAGTCTCAATTTCAGTATGAATCTCCATGAAAATTTATGAGATTACAGAATGACAGGATAAGCATATTAAGTTACTTTGGAAGGAGAGATATGATGGAGGTCAGGAGACTAGGGGCTTCATGCAGCTAAACATGCTAACAAAACTCAGCAAATACGTTCATAGGTTTATACACCCAGCACAAATGCCAACACATGCATTCACATATATACATATATGCATTCATTAAAATGTTCACATTTTCCAATATAACTACACACCAAGGAACAATGATTCACAAAGCCATATAATGGGTTCCTTTCTAAAACAGAAGAGCCCAAATAGGAATTTAAAGGACCTGCTTTGCTTCTTTTCTCCTTAATATCTTTTATTTTTCTCTTCTGCGAGGTCTCCCTATGTATCCCTGGCACTTGATTGTAGAGTAGGCTTCCCTCGAGCTCAAGGCCTCCCATCTCAGCCTCCTAAAGGGGGGTTAGAGTGTGACTCACAAAACCCAGCTCTTCTCCTTCCTCCAGCCAGACTCAGCCAAGTCCTGGGGAGGATGTGGACATCTGAGGACTGTGCCCTGCCCTGCTAGCTGATGATGAGGGTTGCGTTCTGATGACTGGAGGACTACCCTCTAAGTGCACAGAGCAGCAGTATATGGCGTGTACTTAGGTAACAAGGAAAGACTCCTCTCACCCTCAGTGCTGCCAGAAGCTTCTTCCCACAACCCAGTTCTGGGAAACGCTCTTCCCAACCCTAACTCTCTCTTTCTAACCCTAACCCTTTGTTCCCAACCCTAACTCTACACTCTCTTCCCCAACACTAATCCTCTCTTCCCAACCCTAACCCTACTCTCTCTTCCCAATCCTGGCCCTAACCAATGCGAGCTATCCTGCTTCTGTTTTTGTTTCTCAAGCCAAGGTTTCTTTGTGTAATAGAAAGGCTGCCCCAGAGTTAGCTCAGTAGACCAGGATAGCCTCTGCCTCCCAAATGCCGGGATCAAAGGTGTGTGTGCGCACGGCAGAGTTTTTACTGTTATTTCTGTGTCAGCTACCTTGCAAACTCCGAAGGAATGGAGCTTGAGGACAGAAGTGGCCTTGCCTCATAGGCTTGCCTTCCAATATCACCAGAAAGAAGTGCACATCACCTGCAGCATGCGGCAGTAACTACTCAGTAATCCCTGTGCTCCTTTCTTACTAGAGAAATGTACAGGAGTTAGGAGGAGTTTAGCCTAGTCGCTGCTGTAAGGACGTAACGAGGACCCACACAGCACAGGACCTTGCTCACAGTGGATATCTGATCACTGGGGATAGGAGCAAAAGCCAGTTTTCCTAAATCTGCCTGTGGGAACTTATACTTTGAAACCCTCCCCCATTGAAGTTCTGCTTCTTTAGAATCCACAACTTAGCAACGGTGGTAAAATCACTAAGCTCTTGTATGTGGCTGTCTGAGTGGGAGGAGGAAGGGCACAGGGAAGTTTCAAGTAAGAAAACAGTCAGACATGTACCTTTAATGCCAGCACTCAGAAGACAGGGACAGGAGGTCCAGGGCAGTCAAGGCTACACAGTGAGACACTATCTCAACAAAACAATCACACCTCCTCCATAAAAATGAAAAATAAGATCATTTCAATTAGGAATAAATACTAATATATATTTTATAATACACAGAATATGGAATTCAGATACTAGCTGTGGACACCACGTTGCCAAACTCGGTTGTACGCTTCCGGTCTTTTAGTAGATGTCCTGGAGTGACAGGAACAGTCTACTGATCATTATTCATGCTTGACTCTGTACTTCTTGCATGGGTTTTTGTCTTTTAATGTTCAAAACCCTAAGGAATTAAAATTGCCAAGATACAGACAGGGAAACTGGCCTGAGATCAACCATCACCACAGGCCTATTGTTTTGAGCCTGGAGTCCACTCTAGCCTAGTTAGTTTTCCTAACTCCGATTCTCCACACCCTCAGGTGTCTCAGGAGGGACCATCCTACTTCACCGCAGGTGTTTACTGAGCCCAGAAAGGCTCTCCCACAGCCCAACTGAACGATCACGTGGTTACCAGCACTACTGTTTCTAGTCTTTTAGGACAGAGCCTTTCTTGGAAATGAGTTGGCGCTCACTGGGCACTCCAGCAGTTCCATCCGTGTGCAGGATGGGGACTGGCAGGGCCAATGAGCAGTTCCTTCTTTAGCTACTTCTGCTAAATTGAAAGCAGCACTCTTAACCCGTGAGCTCTTTCCAACCCTTCCCCTCATACTTTTGTTTTTTGTTTTAAGAGGGACCTGGCCTTTAAGTTCACTACATAACCCACCCTTATCCTTGAACTTGATGGAGCTCCTCCTGCCTTGTTATCCTGAGTGCTGGGAATGTTTTTTTTTTGTTTTTTGTTTTTGTTTTTGTTTAAATCCCTCCTTACTGTTCTGTAGTAACTGGTAATCTGGCCATTGACTCCTTTGAGCTTTTTAAGAACTCTTTTCAAATCCTCCCCTCAATCCTGTGACCAGTCTTCCTGTCTCCTTTGCAGATGTCTTTTCCTATTTTTAGGAATAAGTCTCCTTTGAGTCTAGCACAAACTCAGCTCTCCAAGAGCTTATGGGGACATGATGAGCTCATGACAGTAACACAGACTGAGACTGGCCACTGTGCCACTGAAGGACAGGCAGATAAGAACCACAGAGTTCAAGGAGGACAGGGTTAATTCTCTTGGCATGGCACTGAATGGGGTCCTGCAAGGTCCAAGGGGCCAGTGCCAGACAGCATCCTCCTCATCCCATAGCACAGCCGGGGCAGGAGTCTCCTGGAGCAGTGGAGAGGGCTCTCCTTTCTCTGGCTGCCAGGAAGGAGTTCTGCTATTAGCTGTGCTGTGTGCAGTGGGATTAAATCTCTAGGAGGGAGAGGAAAGAGGGAAGGGAGGAGGCATGGGCAGAGGGGAGGAGGGAGGGAGAGGTGAGAGAAGGCAGTGGAAGAAAGAAGAGAGGGTGAGATTAGCTGCTTCAAACAAGTGCTGTCAGTGATCTATATTTGCTTACAGAATGAAAAATGTGTGCCATAAACATTGGCCACTGAGTAATTTCTAGCAGGAGCCGTGTCACTTCTCATAAAGCATGGGGTGGGGACAGGTAGGACATCTCTGCACCTGGGCCAGCCAGCACAGGGGCTTCCTTTTATAGCTGTGCTGGGCTTTGGATCCAGTCCAGAAGACTCTCAGGTCAGGCTACTCACTGGGGAAACCAGTCGGGTTCTCCAAGGTTCTGGAGCCTAAGGGCAGCACATCTGCCCCACTTTAGGAAGGCTGAGGCAGGGCACCTGGATAATGTCCATCCAATATTACTCCCCCAGACTCATACCCTCCCTCTGACTTGACTAATTGCTCTAATAATTGATAGAACCTGACTTCTACCACTGATCGATTTCACCTTCACGACCAATGGCCACAAACCATTACACTCCAATAAATAACCATGCTGGGCCTCACCCGGCTGCCCTCTCCGGGGGCATCAGGATAGCCTGTGCCCTGGCCTGACCTCCCCTTGCCTCCCACCCAGGGCCCCTCCAGGCCAAGCAGCTGGTCTTGAGGGCCAGGCCTCTGGGAGCAAGTGATAGAGCTGGGAGGAGGTGGGAGCACTAATCGCAGGCCATCCGTCACCTCCCACTGGCTGTCTGGGGCTGGGGCAAACACCTGGAGCACCCTAGGCAGTGTGGTGCAGGACCCCTCCTTCCTCTCCTGCTCCAGATTAGTTGTCCCAGCTTATAATATTTGATAAATAGCAGTCTGGCTTCCTGGCAGCGCGGCTGCGGCTGCGCCTGCCCGCTACAGCTGTGGAAGGTCACTCATTGGGGAAATATGTTTCTGTCAGTGGTATTGAAAAAAGTTTAGTGGAGTGACAGGCCTCAATTTTTCAAATTTTATTAACTCCATCCTCTTAACCATTTGTCTTGAATTCCTTCAGATTCTGGGGGATCTGTCAATAAGGATCGGGCCCAGAAAGTAGGGTAGGGGTGGTTGGGTGGGCAAGAAGGAACGGGTGCTGGTTGGTGCTGCTGTGGCTGGCTGAGATCTCCTTACCCAGGAAGGTTAAGGGAGTGGAAGGGGTGTTGGTGATAGAGGCCTGGCTCACTGGTGCCTAGGGAGCCTGCTGCTCTTCTCAGGTCAGCATCTGCTTTTGATTTGACATAATCACTATGCTCCAGGTGGGAAAGCACCCTCATAAGAGCTCACTTCTCTCTACTGCGTCGGGAATAGGTGCTCCCTCGGCTCCACTGACTCCATCTTTGAAGACTGAACCTGTCTTCAGGAAGGCCTCCTTACTCCCTCCCACAGACTGTTTGGAACTGGAGAAGAACTCAGCAAAGGTTGGGTACCATCGTCTATACCCCCATAGCGTTCTGCCTGTCTTCCTGCGAGAACTGCACACTATGCATGGTCACTGTTGCTGGACACCAGCACAGGGCCAGCACACGCTTCTTCCTGTTTGTGCGAGAAGACTGTCTTCTCCTCAGGAGCTATCTTTTGAGGCTGAGAGAACACGACAGTTGTTCTGTGTGCTGGGAAAGCCTTCCTGACAGCAACTGTGTGTGACCACGCCCTTGTTCCTGTAAGGGAGAGCCATCTGAGAGGAGAGGAGAAGCTCTTCCCCTCCTAGCAGGGGCAGGTGGGTGAGGAGTACCAGCTGCTGGCTGAGCACTTCTCTACTGTTCTGGTGGTGACTGCTGGCCCATCCACCTCTATGGGTTTTCTGAAGACTGAATGAGGCTGAGATAAGATTATAGCGACCTCTGTAAAGGCTTTGTCATCCACTCCTTTTCACATCTACCTTCGCTTCTCTGACCCCTTCATCCTGACTTTCGTGATTCTGGCAGTCTCTTTCCTATCCCCAGCGAGAGGTTTTGGTGGGTATTAGAGATGTCCTCCACGATAAGAGGTTCCAGGCAGACTGGT